CAACACCAACAGCAACAGCAGCAGCAACAGCAGCACCACCAACAACAACCACAACACCAGAAACAGTGGCAACAACAACAACGACAGCAGCAGCAACAACACTCACCACCACCGAATACAACAATAATACACCGCCAACACGGGCACCACCAACAACAACACAACCATCAATTACGCAACACACCACCAACGACACAACCAACAGCAGTAACAATTACCAACGCCGAGACGAACCAACAACCAACCACATGGAACAATACGAACCGCACCACCAACGTCAACACCGAGAACACCGAACCACCAGCACCAACAGCAATTCCCACCAACACCCACCACACCACAAACACCAATACTTACAACAACACAGCTCCAACCACAACCAAACATCAACAACCACAACAACAAAGCCCAACAACACCAACCACAACCAAATATCCATAACCACTACAAATAGTTAGCGACAGCAACACAAACAACTGCAGCACCTGATAAGGACTTTCTTCTACGTATCATGCACTCGCTATGCACTTAGCCGAACAAGACAAAAGCGGACACAAGGGACAAAAGGAGACAAACAGGGACATCTCCCGCAAAAAAAAAAAAAAGAGACAAAAGGGGACATGAATTACCATCCACACCAGCCACGCGGATAGCACGGAAGGTGGAGGCCCAGGGTGCTCTGGTGGGAGAGCGCCTTCTCGCGACCCAGCGCCGACCGGCGGCGCGGCGTGTTCTCGCGGCCCCGTGTCTTCTTGTAGCCCAGCGCCTCCTCGCGGCCCAGCGCGCCCTGGTGCTCCGGCGCTTCCGGCACCAAGCAGTGGCTCGGACTGTTTTGGTGCCGCGGCGCCTCCTCGTAGCACGGCGCCGCGTCGTGGCCCAGAGCGCTCGCGCAGCCCGCGTGGTACCCGCGGCAAACGTGCCGAACTCGTCGATGACGTTGTCGACGTCGTGCCAATCCAGAATCTCTGCTGTCGCGGCCCCGCCCGCGACTTCTGAAGTTTGGCGCGCGGCCCATCGCATTCTCGTGGTTGGGCGTCATGGGCGGGCCCGGGGACTTCCCGCAGCTCAACTCCGCGGGCCAGAGTGCCCCCCCGGCCCAGCGCGCTCTCAGAGCCAGGCGCCATTCGTAGCCTAGATTCGTGGCTCGGCGTGCTCTCTTGGCCCAGAGACGCCCTGTAGCCTGGCGCCCCGCTGCGGCCCGGCGTGTTTTCGCGGCCCGACGTCTCGCCGCAGCCCGGCGCGCGTTCGTGGTCAAATGTGCCCTGTGGCACCCCAGCCTTCCCGTTGGCCAGCGCCTGCCCTTGGGCCCGCGGCGTCCCGGCGCCGTCTCCTGGCCCAGCGTTCCCTCGTGGCCCAGCGTACTCTTATAGCCCGGCGCCTCATCGTGACGCAGTGCGCTCTCTCGGCCCAGCGTGGTCTGGGGCCCAGTGTTTCCGTTGCCGCAACCCCGTCTTCACGTGGCCCAGCGCGTTCTGGCGGTTCTGCGCGCCCTGGCCTCTTAGCGCCTTCTCGTGGACTGGGCCGTCTCGTGGCCCAGCGCGCTCTCTTGGCCCAACTTCCTCTCGGGCCCTGGCGTCTTCCTGCGGCCCAGCCAGCGCGTTCGGGCACCTGGGCGCTGGGCCCCCTCTAACAGCCCAGCGCGCCCCCGTGGCCCAGGCTGCCCACTGCGACCCAGCGTCTTCCCGTAGCCCAGCGCCCCCTTATGGCCCTGCGCCGCCTGCGCCTTCTCGTGGCACGTAGGCGCGACTCGCGATGGCAAGGCGCCTGGCGGGGAGATCTCCGCTCGCCCGCGTGGAGCTCCGCTCGCCCGCGTGGCCGGCGCGAGGGTGTCGGGCAGCGCCTCTGCTCGCCCGGCACCCTCCATGGCTCTGCTTTATCTGGCAGCTTGCTGCCGTCTCGTAGCTTTGCGCCCGCTTGCGGCCCGGCGCGTGCTACGCGCCCGCTGCTTTGCCGACGCTGCCTTGGCTGGATTGGGCTGGCCATGCCCGCTCGATTGGAACGCGCCGACCCTGCCGCCGCCGCCGCCTCGCTTCTCGGGGACAGGCGGGGCGCGGCCAAGAAGTGGCTGGGACCGCCTGCGCACGCTCCGGCCCCTTCTTCTTGATCCTGCGTTTCGGCGGCGGCGGTGACCTCCGCGCGCTTCCCCGCGCGCGGCCCCTGCCTTCTGTCTGCTGTCAATTCCGCATTGCTCCCGCGAGCAAATCCGAGAGCTTCGGCCCTGGCAGTCATCGAGCGCCTCCAGTGCACTGGAGACGTAGTCTGCGGCCCTCTGTTCCGCCGCGCGTTCCGGAGCGCTCGCGACGCTGTCGCGAGACGCCCGGGGTGCCAGCGGGCCGTCGAAAAGCCCTGCTCTGGGCGTGGTTTGGGGGGCGATTCGCGCTTCGAGCTTCGTCCTCGCTTCGCGCCCCTCTTTCTCGTCTCTTTCCTGCGTCCTCTCGGCTTCCAGATCCGTCTCCGCCGCGTCGTCGATCCAAGCGGCGCGTCTCTTCTCGCTCGTGGCGCAGTGAACGTCGCAGAGCGGTCTGGCGCATCGCGCGCAATCGTGGCCCGCGACTCCGCTGCGCAGGAAACGCCATAACCCGCCGGGGCGCGGCGCGAGCGCGGCCTGCCAGGGCAAACCCGCCCGCGGAGAGGCCGCGCTGACATTGGCGACCTTGGATCTTCCCAGATTCAGCTGGGAAGCGTGCTCCCCCAACTGCTGGCGCCCGCGATGGTTTGCGCGCCATCGGTATTGATGCTCGCGCCGCGCCCCCCAGTGCACCGCGGGTCGCGTCGCTCGGATCTTGGCGCCCCGGGCCGCGATGGTCACCTCGCCATTCGCCCGCGGCTCGATCCGCGGGGCCCTTTCCAGCGCGCCATACTATTCAGCAGCGGCAACGCGAACGCAGTTCGCGCGAGCCGCTTCGGCTGCGGCCTGCGCCTGTTGACGACTGTCATGGACCTTGCCCAGCCCCTGCTTCGTCGCCTTTGCGCTCTCAGCCGGCGCCCGCTTCGCAATGGCTGCGGCGGTCACTCAGTCGGTCTGGGCCCGCCGAACACCCGTCTTTTTCTGCCGCGAGGATGGCGCTGCGCGCCCCGGGCGCCTCGCCCGCCCACCTGGCCTCCTCAGCGACGCTTTTCTCGAGGTCTTGAGCGCGCTTCTCAGCGACTGCCGAGGACTCGGTCTGGCCGGCAAATTCGCGATGCTCGGCTGACGCGCGCGGCGTCTGCTCGGAGGCATTTGTCTGATGAGTTTCCTCAGCCTGCTCCGTGGCGCGCATAAAAGCAGCGCGGTCGTCTTCGGCCTGGGCGCGAGCAACTGCGCGCTCGTGGACTTCGGTCGTCGTGACCTGGCCCCGCATTTGCGCCAACTCTCGACCCCTCCCTGCGGCCGCGGCTTCTCGCCTCCTCTTCAGCCCGCGCCCATTCGAAGCCGCGCGGCGCCGCTCGGGCGCGCGCGAACGGGGCGGGGAGGGGCAGTGCAGGCAGAAGAATACCAGGTTGCACAGGTCGCAATTCACCGAGCATTCGCGACAGACTGCCTCCTTACAATGTCCTTTGCATCCCAAGAAGCAATGCTCGGGGAATGCCGCGCACTTGGGACCTCCGTTGGCCCGTCGATGCGCTGGGCCGCGCCGTGCGGGTGGAGGACGACGACGCGACCGGCGGGGCCCTCGAGGCCCTGCGGCGGTCGGGCCCAATGCCTCTGGCTCGCAGGAAGCGAATGCGGGGGATGGGGGCCCTCGACGCGCTGAGTCTCAAGTTTCCTGCGCGCAAGATCCTCGGCGACCCAATGGGGAAATGGCTCGGGGGCGCGCCCCTCAGGCCCCCCCTGGGTCAAGCATCTGGTTCTCGTCTGGCATGCAATCCTCTCTGGTTCGCTTCGCGAAAAGGGACCTGACGGACAGGCTTAAAGTCCACAGGGTTGCTTCGCGGCGGGTGCTCTCGACCAGGCTGTGAATTTACGTTTTGCTGACAGACATGCCGTAATTTCTGCCATTTCGCCATGCAGATAATCCCAGGGGGCCTCAGCGACACAGTCGTCGAAAAGTGCTGACGCTGGAGATGGTTCCTGAGCCAATTTCAGGGGCGGTCCGAAACCGCGTGCCCAGGGACCGCCCCCCGGATAAAGTTCAGTAACCGTTTTCGGTTCAAGCGGGGCGTTGGCACGACCGACCCCCATTCTTCCGGCGAGCCGGTTACGGGTGCCCCCGAGGAGTCGGAGGAGATCACGTAGGACTTAGGCGTAACTGACACAGGCTGGTAACTGATATCGGTCCAGGTCCCCCCTTCCGTACCACCTGGGGTCCGCTTCCGCTTTCTTTGCGTCCGTTGGTAAACCGTCTTGACGACGCATTCCTTCGTCCACTGGTGTCTGTCCTGATGATAGCGAGCAGCGTTCGAGAGGACAGCAAATCGGAACCCCCGACACAGTCAGGGGACTGGCCTCGAAAATGGCATGCCGGATTCTTTCTGAACCGTGGCATTGCTCTCCCGTGTTTGGTACACCTTCCTTCGAAACGAGCATCGTTTCGTGTTCTCGTGGTAATGCGTTCGGCTGGTGACGAGTATGCCGATTCATCATTGACTCGGGGATTGTCTTGACCCGTTGGGTAAGCTCTTGCTCAGCGTATTATGATGGGTCATATCTAAATAATGGTACCACGTTCAATCTTGGAGAAGATGCAATTGAAGCCGTGGCTAACCCTTGAGAGAATGTGATAATCAAGTGTACTAGATATGTGTGTATGTAGCCGGCCGAGAGGAGGGAGGCTGGCCGCGCGAGAAAACTGTTTCACTGCGCTCAAAAACCTGCAGTGGTCAAAGCAGTGTATGTAATGTAACTATCATCGCTGCCGTCGCCAGCCTATGTAAAGGAAAGCGGCGGCGGCAGCGGCAGAGCACACCACTAGAGCGTAACTAATGACTAGTTCCCTCCTCCTCCTCCTCCTCCTCCTCCTCCACATCCTCTGTTGCCCTCCCGCACAAAGGAGGCGGACGAGGCCGCAGCGCGGGGCGCGCCGTACACCGCATTGTCGTGGTCCGCGAGCGTCCTGAGCTCCTCGAATTCGTCGTCATCATGGTCGTCGCCGAAGTATTATTTGGTCTCGTCATCGTCGTCGCCGGCCTCGGTTTTTGTCGACCATGTCGGCGTTCGTTGGCGTCTTGAACCCCTCGCGCAATCGTGTTCGTCGCCGTCGTCGTGGTCGTCGCCGTCTTCGTCTTCGGCTTCGTCGTGTTTGTCGTCGGTGGCCGCGTCGTGGTCGTCGGCGAAAAGGATGTCGTCGCATCTCTCCTCCTCATGTTCACTCCTCTCCTTCCCCTTGTTGCGATCCCTGTTTTTGCTTGTGTCGACGATGATGCTGAATACGTTTCCCCTCCTGGTTTGTGTTCGCATTACCCTCCTCCTCACATCGCTCCTGCTGGCCATCATCTTGTAATTCCTTCTCGCTTCTCGAATTGTTCCGTATCCCCCATCCTCGTCCTGAAAATGAACTGTCATCGTTTTACTCTTGATCCTCCTTGCCCACCTCCTTGTACCCACCTCCTCGTATCGCTCATCATCGTCATTAACCCTGATAGCTTTCCTCCTCGCACCACAGCATAATACTGCTCGTGCCCCCCCGTCATCCTATGTCCTCATTCCCCCTCATCAGACTCCTGTTATCGTCCTCCTGCTCCTCCTCCCCCTCCTTCTCATCACCCATTCGTCTTCTGTATATGGCAGCAGTGTAAACCCGAACGTGCGCAACATAAACTTACACGGCTCCGAACAAGGGTCGTGCGAACGCCTTGCGCGTATAACCAACGATTTGTATGTGTTTCCACCCACGCGCCGCCCCACCCCCCGCCCGCGCCGCGGCCCCGACACAGACACCGACACAGAACACATAATGTATACTGGCACAGAGCGGCACAATGTATACAGCCGGACTCGATTGGACAGGACACGCGAGAGGACACACGACCCTTCCGAGGGCCACATGGCTACAGGAATGTAGGAAACATGGGCCGCGAGACACAGGACACAAGGGTACCCTTGATTTGGCAGGGTCGACCTACGAATCTGGGCCGACTGTACTGCTTGCGGCCAACACATGGAACGATCGCTGAAAACACGCACGTAACACGAAGTCGGAATCGTCTTGCCCTGTCATCCCTGATCTCGAGCGGCAGCTTGCATCATGGAGCCAAAAGCGGCTGGCATCTCTGGGCTATATCAAGCACGCTCTGTCAAAATCTGGGGCACATCAGTCCTTGTAGTTCAAATCTGCAGCCCGCATGCCTTGTGATCGTTGCCTGCTTGGAGGTGACAAACGCCCCTGCACGCAAGGATTTACATGCGTGTTGCCGCGCGTCCCTCTCCCCGTAAAATGGTTCCCATCCCAGCCGATGGTCTTCCCCTTCAGGGCGTGGTGTTGTGCGGTGTCGTGGGGCCTGCGCGCGTTCGAGCGCGAGCGTGGTTGTCTGCGCGCGCGCGCGTGCGCGACGGAGCAATTCAGACCTTTCGGGAAGACGTAAGACTCGGGTACGGGGGACTCGGGTTGGCCTGACGGGGCCATCATGAAAATGGCAAGACCCAATCTGAAATTTGACGCGAGCTCCCGCTGCAAACATCCCACCGAAACTGGACCGTCCAAATACAGAACGCGCTCGCCAAAAAACATTGGGAAACCCGAGTTTCAGCTTACTCGAGTCTTACGTTCCCCCGAACCTTGCGCCCCCCACTTTCCCATCGCACCCAGGGCGCCCGCCAGGTGTCAGCATTGGATGGCGACGTTTGCTCAAAGCATGGTCTCGCGTGTCTCCCGCGCCTGGGTTTTCCTGAACTGCTGGCTCGAAACTGTCCCCCACCCAACGCCCCATGGTTTCTCGGCTGGAACGCATTCGCCACCCGTGCTTGCGCAATAAGCGTGCCCACACCCAGGGCTATCTCAGCATGCCGGTGTGTCGTCGCCTCGGTTGGCGGAACACATGCGAGCGCGAGCGCGCGGGCGCAAACATGCGTGCGCGAAAGTATCAGCGTGCCTCGGGTGCGCGTGCTCGCGTGCCCGCGAGTACGCGACCCACCTCTGACTACACGGCCCACGACACACTTCCCACGGCATGCACTTCCTCCCACTGAACAGATCTCACCTCCCGTATGCCCTTCCCACTGAACAAATCTCAATCAATGCCCACTTCCGTCATGCGCATCCAGGAATTGGGTTCACAAGCAATTCATCACAACGAAGCAAGGTCATACGCATCCAGGGAGGCCCTGCCACAGCGCGGAAAGCATTGGCAAACTGTGCTCTGCATTACGTGTGTTCGTGCCCGATCCACTCCAATTATGTCGTCTGACCTTCCAGGGAGGCCCTGCCTGACCGCGGCATGCATCAAGGGCTCGCGCTCTTCCTACACCACCCCAAATACTGCCATCCGACCCTCCAAAAAAAACCCTACTGACCGCGTCAATCGTCAATTGTCAATCGTGGTTTGTATCAGGGTCGTGACATTCCAACTCCACCAAAACCAATCCCACCACTGCCATCTAACCTTGCCAGGAAGCTCCCGTAAACCGCAACACACGTAGGACAACTGTGCTGCTTATCGGAGTCCGTGCCCGTCCCACTCAATCTATCCCACCAATGTCGTCTGACCCTCCAGGGAGGCCCCGCCTGATCGCGGCAGGCATCGGACAACTGAATTCTTGATCAAGGGCCGTGCCCTTCCCACACCATCAGTCCCACCCGTGCCGTCTGACCCTCTAGGCGAGCCCCGCTAAGTCACAATCGCAAGCCTTTCCCACTACACCAATCCTGATAAAGCTGCCTGACCCTCTAGGCAAGCCCTCCAGACCGCAAGCGTCGGAAAGCTGTCTTACTGATCAGGATTTGTGTCATTCCCGCTTCACCAGTCCCACAAATGCCGTCTTACCCTCCAGGGAGGGACCGCCAGATCGCGGCAAGCATCGTTTATCAAGGGCCGTGCCCTCCCCATTAGTCCCACCACTCCCGTCTGACCCTGCATGGAGGCTCCGCCAGACGGGCGCTGGCACTGGGAAACCGGATTATTCATCAGGGCACCTGCTCTTCCCACTCCACCTGTCCCCCACCAGTCCCACTGCTGACATCAAAGTCTCCAGGGAGTCCCCTTTCAATGTTGTACGAGGACGGACGGAAGGAGCGAGAGAGAGAGAAGGGGTACGAGGCAGGATCGCCTGAACGAGCGGGCGACTCAGGGGAATCAGAAACACGATCCGTCGGAGGAGTGAGGGGGAGGCACGACTACCTGAGCTGACCCTCTGCGTTCCCCAGTGCTCTGCCACACTCTAACCGAAAGTAGCAGGAGGGAGGTGAACGAGGGTCTGACTCAGGGTGGCAAGTGCGCGTAGGAGGTGAGAGAAGGAGAAGGAAACGGAGAAGAAGGAACAACGGAGGATGATGACGAGGAGTGACGAGGGAGACTGCGAATTTCAATCAAACCCGCCTGGCCCGCCTGGCACCCAGATGTCGGCTTCGACCATTCGGCGCTCGAGGGCGCCAACCCTCTTTGTTGACTTGGGTCCAACGAACATTATTGGTATTGGTCGTGTATCTCTGTGTAAATCTCCCCGTTTGGGGTGCTCCGGACTTCCTCTCCCTCTTGCCCCTGCACGCCCTCCTCCTCCTCTTCCTCCGTCTCCCCCTCCTCCTTCTCCCCCTCCTCCTCCTCCTCCTCCTCCTCTTCCTCCTCCTCCTCCTCCTCCTCCTCCTCCTCCTCCTCCTCCTCCTCCTCCTCCTCCTCCTCCTCCTCCTCCTCCTCCTCCTCCTCCTCCTCCTCCTCCTCCTCCTCCTCCTCCTCCTCCTCCTCCTCCTCCTCCTCCTCTCCTCCTCCTCCTCCTCCTCCTCCTCCTCCTCCTCCTCCTCCTCCTCCTCCTCCTCCTCCTCCTCCTCCTCCTCCTCCTCCTCCTCCTCCTCCTCCTCCTCCTCCTCCTCCTCCTCCTCCCTCCTCCTCCTCTCCTCCTCCTCCTCCTCCTCCTCCTCCTCCTCCTCCGCCTCCTCCTCCTCCTCCTCCTCCTCCTCCATCCTCCTCCCTCCATCTCTCCATCCCTCCATCCCTCCATCCCTCCATCCCTCCATCCCTCCTTCTCCTCTCCTCCTCCTCCTACTCCCCTCCATCACTCCCTCCATCCCTCCATCCCTCCATCCCTTCATCCATCCTCCATCCCTCCATCCCTCCCCTCCTCCTCCTCCTCCTCCTCCTCCTCCTCCTCCTCCTCCTCTCCTCCTCTCCTCCTCCTCCTCCTCCTCCTCCTCGGAGCCTCCTCCTCTCCTCCTCCCCCTCCTCCCTCCATCCCTCCTCCCTGCATCCCTGCATCCCTGCATGCCTCCATCCATCCATCCCTCCTTCTCCTCTTCCTCCTCTTCCTCCTCCTCCTCCTCCTCCTCTCCCTCCATTCCTCCCTCCCTCCTTCTCCATCCTCCTCCCTCCATCCTCCATCCCTCCATCCCTTCATCCCTCCATCCCTCCATCTGTCCTTCTCCTCCTCCTCCTCCTCCTCCTCCTCCTCCTCCTCCTCCTCCTCCTCCTCTTCCTCCTCGCATAGGCAATTGAAACCATGCGCTCAAAAGGGGCCTCGGCGACCTGCGACAGACCGAGAGGGCGCAGGCGGTGCACTCCTTTATTCTCAGCCGGGAGACTCGCGCGGGCACGGGCCCACGCTCACCAAACTTTACGAGGGTGGAAACGCGAGGGAGAGATCGTCATGAGGGGACTTCCCTTCGAGCGCGCGACCAAACCATCATCTGTATCGAGGGGAACCACATCCTGACGCGCAATCTATAATATGGTATGTTGTGTCTGTTCGATCGGATTTTCCCGGCCTTAAGAATCATGTGCAACCGCTCCACGTTGGATACATGTTAGGATTGGCGTTTTGCTCACGACGTTCAGATAGGAGCTGTCGCCTCAGACCAGGCCATATTTCAAAATCCAGTTCCTTGCTCGTCTTTGCCGTCCTGCTCCTTCTGGTCTTCCTGTTCCTACCCTCCTCTTTCCTCATCGTCAAGCAATTCGTTGTTTCATTTGCCCGCGTAT